TTTACTTAGTTTTCTTTTAAATAGTTTAGTTTTCCCCATTAATTGGTTAATTCAACTTAAGTTAGATTAATAGTGTCTTGGTAGTGTAGGATAGTTCTCAAGGAAACGATATCTTACTCATCATATACTGCATAATCGATTATGTTCACTTGCCTAAAAATAGTGCGTATTCGGTCATCAAGTTTTTGGCGCCATTGCCGGGGACTAGTCATCTACATATTAAGATTAATAATTTGGCCTTAGATTGAATTTTTTTATTTTTTTCTTTTTCTTTATTGATTAGTTGTTTTTTTTTTTTGTTTTTATTCTTAATTTATCTTAGTTTTATTTTTTACTTTTTGATTTTTTTTAGGATATTAGTGCATGACCCGTAGTAGTGGTGGTGATCTTGTTCCATTTGATCCAGAAATTGAGAGAACTTTTAGAGAGTTCTTAAGAGACAAAAGCAGAACATCATGGCAGAAGAAGGTGAAGGACAAAATAATGCATGCACTCTTGGTTCATATGCCACCCCATCCCTTGAAGGAATAGCATCCAGCATTAGGAGGCCAGCGATTCAAGCCAATAACTTTGAAATCAAACCAGTTATCATTCAAATGATCCAACAAACTGTCCAATTCAGTGGTTTGCCTAATGAAAATCCTTATTTGCATATTGCTAGTTTTCTTGAAATTTGTGATACTTTTAAGGCTAATGGTGTTAGTAATGAGTCTGTTAGGCTTACATTATTTCCATTTTCTTTGCGTGATAAAGCCAAGAGTTGGTTGGCTTCAATCTTTTCCTACGGGTCATTTTACCATATGGAATGTTTAGGTAGATAAATTCATAGCTAAATTTTTTCCTCCTTCGAAAATAGCTAAGTTGAGAAATGACATTACTACTTTTGTTCAATTTGATAATGAGTCATTATATGAGGCATGGGAAAGATTTAAGGAATTGCTTAGGCAATGTCCAAATCATGGTTTACCGGTTCGGTTCCAAGTGCAGACTTTTTATAATGGTATGACTCCTCCTAATCGTTCTATAATTGATGCAGCTGCAGGGGGTAATCTTATGAATAAGACAGAGGAGGAAGGTTATAAGTTGTTAGATGAAATGACTTCTAATAACTATCAATGGACTAATGATAGAGCTACCAAAAAGGGAGTTGGTTTACATAATGTTGATGCTTTTACTTCTTTATCTACTCAAATTTTTGTTTTGAATAAAAAGTTAGATAATTTAGGAGCGTCAGCAATGAGTATTTCATCTAATAGTTGTTGTGAATTGTGTGGGCAATTTGGTCATGCTAGTGTTGAATGTCAAGTAGGCAATTCAGTTCAATCTTCTAATGAGCAAGCTAATTTTGTTTCTTCTGGTGGTAGGTCTAATTTTAATCCATACTCCAATACCTACAATCTAGGATGGAGGAGCCATCCTAATTTTTCATGGAGTAATAATCAAGTGAAAGTACCACCAGGTTTTTAGCAACAAAATCAGCAAGAAAAAAAGCCAAATTTGGAGGAGTTGGTGCACAAATTTGTTAGTAGTACAGAAGCACGGTTTCAAAATCAAGAAATAAGGTTTCAAAATCAAGATACTACTATTCGAAATATAGAAACGCAACTTGGACAAATTGTTGATATGGTTTTTGGAAGAGTTCAAGGGGGTTTGCCAAGCAATAGTGAAAAGAATCCAAGGGAGCAATTGAAAGCTATCACTTTGAGAAGTGGAAAAGAACTTAAAGAGGTAAGACAATCTGATGGGAAAGAAGAAGGTGTGGAAGCTGGTGAATCGAAGCAAGAGGAGGAGCCTAAAAGACTTTTTCATAATCCGAATGTCAAGCCTTATAAGCCGAAAATCCCTCTTCCTCAAAGATTTTTGCAAGCTAATTTAGACAAGTAGTTTTCTAAATTTTTAGAGGTGTTTAAAAAGTTACATATTAATATTCCTCTTATTGATGCTATTTCGCAGATGCCAAGCTATGCAAAATTTTTGAAGAAGATCCTTGCCAATAAAAGGAAGCTAGAGGAGTTCGAGATGGTGAAGTTAAATGAAGAATGCTCTGCTATTCTTCAGAATAAGTTACCTCCTAAGTTGAAGGATCCAGGGAGTTTTTCTATTCCTTGTATTATTGGTAATGTTAATTTTGATAAGGCTTTGTGTCATTTGGGTGCATCAATCATCTCTCTCAGAGATATAATACCACCTCGTCTGGTTGCCACTCAACCGGCTCTAGAACAACGACCTAAAGACTATCGCCTTCATAGGTATCTTTAACCTCACACATATCAACATAAATCCTATAATAAACTTTATGTTGTTGGGGTCCAGTTGTGTTAGCGCTAGCTCATACTATACCAGAACGTCAAAAATTAGCCCAGGCAAAGGAAAATGCAAGCCGGCATCAAAGTGGTCCACATACACCGGTACCCACCCTGTTTGTGACATTGTGCATGCCCTCTCATTTTTGGTGCCAACTTGGATAAAAACTATTCTAAGGATCTAATATTGTTTCACCATCTCTTTCAACTTCTTATACCTTTTGACAGTAGCTGCGCCATCTGCTACATCGTGATGAAGTGCCACCCTGAACCTAAAACTAGTAAGTAAATTTTCTGGCACCTTGCGAATATTGCTCAATCTACCATTGATGGTTTTACCCTCCCACTTTGCAAGCACAAACACATCTGCATCCACATTTTCCATTTGGGGACTACTTGCACCTTTCCCCATACCTTCTTCAGCACTGGGTGTCCCCTCTGATGACGAGCCTTTAGACAGTGAAGAATGGTGACCATCGAAGTCACCATGTGTCCTTGAACTGGTGCTGCTCTTTGGTGTAATAGTTTCCAACAGATCTTGCAGTTTCAGTGGCACTATCATGGCGATCGGCTCCATTGAGATAATGCCCTCTTCTACTTCCCTCCCTTGGTTACCACGAAGCTCCCTAATTTCTCTAAAAAAATCCATTTTTACTTGAATCTGAGGAATGTAATCTTCTTCTATGTTGGTAGTTTCTGAACGTCACTTCAAAAGCTTCGAACACTTCCATTGCAAAAACAACAGAGAATATGGTGAAAGGGAAATGCCAAAATGCTTATACGATCGTTTCTCCTCCCTTTCTCAAACATATTGTGTAGCCTTAATTAACGTACACGTGTTTCTGACGTGCCACTTAAAACCCCACACGTGGCAGCTATTTACAGCTTGGCGTGTAACGTCCGTCGACTTTAGCTGTCACGTCTCTTCAAATGCTGAGCTAGCATTTATTGGAGAAAAGTAAAGAGATATCCGCTGGCTGCTCACCCTTACTCAACAGAGGAATTAGGGGGTCATCAGGGATCAGGTGAGAGAGTATTCTCCCTATAGCCATTTCTAAGACCTCGGTTCTTTCTTCCAACTCAGATGTCCAAGCAAATTCCATGGGTCCTCCACATCATGACGTGTTGTGCACGAGGTGCCTTCACCTTGCTTCTGCTGGAATCTGGAATTGCTCTTCAAGCTGGGTTGCATACCTAGTTGGTGTTCTTTCATCATCTGAACCACTCAAGTGTTCTTCTTCTGCTCCTCCTACAAAGAGATTTCTTGGCATTTACCAAAAGTCGCTCAAGCCAAGCTCCGAAAGCTGAGTGTCATCCTAATCGTCCATTGTACTCCTCTGAGGGGGTTGGTTTCCTGTAAAAGTATGCACCATGCTTGGCTTCAACACTAGCAACGCTGCTTCTTTGCTCAGTTCCCACAGACAGCATCAAATGTTTGGGCAGCTTCACAAACCTACACTATAGAGATCTTCAACTACTTTAACACCTGAAAAACCCGAGGATGTTTCTTCAGGGAAAACACTCCGATGCTCAAGTCAGCAATACTCAATATTCTAGAGAGAGAAGCTCTCGAGAGTAATTGTAGAGAGAGAAGTGTTGTGGAGTTATTACCTTGAGTGGAGGTAAGTGGAGGTAAGTGGGGGGTATTTATAGCCCCTGGGTGATGACATGAGTTTAAACATGTAAGCATCTAATTGGTCCATGTGTAAGTACCCACGTGGGTATGTTTGGACTAGTGCATAGATGCATCTTTATTTTGGGCTCATGGATAAATGACTGGGCTTGTTGTACATGGCCCAGGTTGGATGTTGGGCCCATTCCCAACAGTGTAGTTGCCTTTTTCCTGCACTCTCTGACACTTTCTCATATAAAATGGCCAAATAATAAATTTTAGCTTGCAATTCAAAGTTCACAGTTAGAAAAATTCACTTGGTTATTTTTACATGAAAGAATATTAAAGAGAATGCCAAAAAAAGCGATTGCATTTAGTAGTCTCTTTAGCTTAGACACTAACACAGTGCAATGATATATGTCCAAAGAATCTTTTTGACTTTCTAATCGAGAATGGGTTGGCTAGCCTGCACAAACTATTTACAAAATAATTGAGTAGCATGTTAAGGAAAGTGCTACTTGATATGATTCTCTCATTATTTAGAGAAATATATAATCTTTGATTCTGGACTGTGTAAATAGAAACTAGTTTTTCTGTTTCCTCTCTTATGTATCTTGGCCAATACTTTACTGCTGTGTATATATTTGTGATTGATTGTTAATAACATTACAATTTAATTTTGCCATTCACCTTGTTCTATTAGTGGTATCAGAGCCCTAATCTCTAACGAGTTCTATTCCATTCACCATGGCTGACCACTCACCCCCAAACTCATCGTCATCGAGCACTTCATCAAGCACCTCATCAAACAACAGGAAAACCGATACCCTTGTCGTCACATCCTCTCAAGAACCCAATTCCAACAAAAAATTATTGTCACATTCAATCCAACTCAATTTCCACTAAAACTCACACCTAACAATTATCTCACTTGGAAGGAGCAAATCACTTCCCTGATGACCACCTACAGATTACTTGATTTTCTTGAGGGTACAAAACCATGCCCTGCGGTTCCAGCATTGGCAGAACAAATTCCAGACTCCCCGTTTGACACATGGGTAAAACAAGATCAAGCCTTGCGCCATGCCCTGATTACTACTGTGTCAGACTCGATTCCTCCACGAATTGCCACGGTAAGAACCTCCAATTAGGCTTGGCTCACTTTGGAGAAATTGTATGCAAATTGATCTACCACTTGATATGTCATATGGCGAGATCGTCTTCACAACCTCCAAGGTGAAGGGAAAACAATGACTGAATACTTGGACCACGTCAAGATGATTGCTGATGAGTTGAAGAACATACGCCAACTGGTTTCAGATGAGGAATTGTCCATTCACGTCATGAACAGCCTTGGTCTTAAGTTTCGGGAGTTTTGCACCTCCATTCGAGCTCGTGAGACGCCTTTGCCATTTGAAGATTTTTAGGATAAACTCTTGGCACATGAGGAAGCCTTGCGTCGAGAAGAATAGAGACTTGAGGCAGTGCCAGTTGTCGCCCATCATGCCGCTACACAAAAGAGAAATTTTAGAAATTTTCCATCTAATAATTTTGTTACTAATCAGCCCATCTATGCAGGATATGGTTCATCACAGCAGCCCACTTCTCATTCATGGAATAAGCCCAACAAATATTATAATCAGCCTAGGCAGCAATTTAATAGAAGGAAGAATGGAAATTGGAGGCCCAACAATGCCATAAATTTCAATTCTCAATTGTGCAATCAACCTGGACACTTTGCAAACAACTGTCCATATTTGCATGTGCAAGCACAAGCACTGATGGCAAATTATGCTTCTTCCAGTGGACTTTCTCACAACAAATGGTTGATTGATTCTGGTGCCAATAATCACATAACAAATGATCTTACAAACCTTGCCTTACACTCTGAGTATGATGGATCTGAGGAACTCCAAATTGGCGATGGTTCAGGCCTAGAGATTACACACATAGGTAATACAACTATACCAAACTCTTCTATTCCTTTAAACAATGTTCTATGTGTTCCCCAAGCTTCTCGCAACCTTATCTCTGTATCTCAACTTTGCAAGAACACTAATACCCTTGTTGAATTTCATCCCAACTTTTTTAGGTGAGGGATCGTCGCACGAGGGCAATTCTGCTTCGAGGGCCAAACAAACAGGGAGTTTACCAAATTCCCGAAAAGGGAAATTCTAAATCTCCTTCCATGGCATTTGTTGGTGAACGTGCCTCAGCATTAAATTGGCATTCACCACTTGGGCATCCTTCTTCTAAAATTTTATAATTAGTTCTTCGTAGTTTTCATTTACCTAGTTTTAATAAATCTAGTTTTGAGTCTTGTGAGTCATGCTTGTGCTCTAAAAGTCACAAACAACCTTTTGGTAATTCTTCTATTCAAAGTCATGCCCCTCTTGATGTTATTTTTTCGGATGTTTAGGGTCTTGCCCCAGTTTCTTCAATTGATGGCAATAAATATTTTGTGCTTTTTATAGACCATTTTACTCGCTATATGTGGATATATCCTTTAAAAAGAAAATCTGAAGTTTCTATTATTTTTCCTAAATTTAAAACTCTTGTAGAAAAACAATTTGGCAATAATATAAAGTCATTTTATTCTAATGGGGCCGGTGAGTTTGTCAGTCTTTGTCAATATTTTTCTAACCATGGGATTTCTCATTTTACTACTCCACCATACACACCCGAACTCAATGGAATTAGTGAGCAGCATAATTGGCAAATTATTGAAACTGCACTTACTCTTATGCATACTGCAAATCTTCCAACTCGGTTTTGGTCATATGCAGTAACTACAGCTGTCTATCTTATCAACCGCCTACCGTCTTTTGCAGTTTCTTTTAAATCACCATTTCAAAAATTATTTCATCTTAAACCCAATTATTTAAAAATGAAAATTTTTGGCTGTGCTTGCTATCCTTGGTTACGTCCTTATAACAATAATAAGCTTCAATCTCGATCTCGACAATGTTTATTCTTGGGCTACTTTCTCAAAAATCTGGGATATAAATGTTTTGATCTTGAGTCGAAAAGGTTTTTTTACTCTCGTCATGTTGTGTTTGATGAACGTTTCTTTCCTTTTAAAAATAATTATGTTCCATCTTTGTCCAATTTGGAAGATTGGTTACTACCTGCACAAATGCCAATTTCTTCTGAGGTCACTTCATATCCATCACCTTCATGGCTCGACGAGCAGCAATTGTCTCTAGCGATGGACTCACCCAAAGTGATCCACCTTCAGCGTTCCTCTTCTTCGGCCCGAATCGGTAGCCAGTCATCCCCTCCACCAACCACCCCTATTCCTTGTTCCTCTTCTATAGCCCAATTAGCCACACCACCTTCCTCACATACCGCAAGCCCATTGCAGCCCATGGTCCAACATCCTTTTTCAGATTCACCACTACGCACCGCTTCTTCTTTACCTTCTCCACCTATCCCTTCAACCCAGTCCCCCATCCCACCGCCTTTCACTTTGTCGCAAGCCACTACTGCTTCTAGTGATTCCACTACCTCGGCTTCCCCCGTAGCCATTGTGCCACCCCAACGCACCCATCCCATGGTCACCCGCTCTCAAAACATGATCTTCAAACCCAAGCACGTCTTTCTTGTAACCAAATCCCCACCCATCGAACCTGTAGAACCTACATGTGTATCTCAGGCTTTGAAGGATCCCAATTGGAGGAAAGCCATGTCTGACGAATTCACTGCCCTTGTTCGGCAAGGTACTTGGGATCTTGTGCCTCCTTCTCTAGCTCAAAATGTGATCGGCTGTAAGTGGGTTTTTCGATTGAAAAGGCGTGTTGATGGTAGTATTGAGCGCTATAAGGCACGACTCGTACCCAAAGACTATCACCAACAACCTGGCTTTGATTACTCTGAGACTTTTAGTCTTGTCATTAAGCTTGTAACTCTTCGCACTGTCCTCTCAGTTGCGATAAGTAATCACTGGCCTATTCGCCAACTTGATATTAACAATGCCTTTCTTAATGGCAATTTGGATGAAGAGTTGTTTATGCTATAGCCTGCTGGATTTGTTGATGAAACTTTTCCTCATCATATATGTCATTTAAAGAAGTCTCTATATGGCCTGAAACAGGCTCCCCGTGCATGGTTTCGTTAATTGAAGGGATATTTGCTCTCTCAAGGACTTCAGTGTTCCCGATCTGACACCTCTCTTTTTATCCTTTGGCAATCTGACATTATTGTTTATTTTCTCGTCTATGTGGATGATATTTTGATCATTGGAAACTCCCTACCATTCATTGACAAGTTGATTCTTAATCTTGGTGCTCGTTTTTCCTTGAAGGATCTTGGTAACTTACATCTCTTTTTAGGGATTGAAGCTATTCATACTCTAGCAAGGGCTATTTCTCACCCAACATCGATACATTACAGAAATTCTACATCGTGCCAACATGTCTGAAGCTAATGTCGTCGCTTCCCCCATGGCTTCCTCTTGCTCTCTCCAGCAAGGTCCTGGAAACACTCTCACTGATCCTACTGTCTATCGGTAAATTGTTGGTGCATTACAGTACTTGTCCCTCACTCATCCAGACATATCCTTTTCAGGGAACTGTTTGTCTTAGTTTCTTCATTGCCCAACAGAATATCACTGGCAGGCTATCAAATGTGTTCTTCGTTACCTTAAAGGGAGCTTACATCATGGATTACTTCTTACTCCCTAGGCTAGACTCTCCTTGCATGGTTTCTCTGATTTTGATTGGGAGGGGGATCACGATTCTTATGTTTCAACCACTGGGTATATTATCTTTCTTGCTCAAATCCAATCTCTTGGAAGGCTACCAAACAACGTGCTGTCGCCCAAAGCTTCACTGAGGTAGAATATCGTGCTCTTGCTGCTGCTTCCTCTAAGATGGTATGGGTTAAACATTTGCTAACTGAACTTGGTGTTTCTTGCATTGGCTCCCCCACTGTGTATTATGACAATCTTGGTGCTACCTATTTAAGTAGCACCTTGTTCTATTATAGCAGATCATTAACTTGCTTGCAACTTATAAACCAGATCCATTACCATCCTTTCCCTTTGATTTCAATTTTAACTAGTCTGTTAGTTCCTATTTTTCCAAGAATGGCATATGCGCTTGTTTCCGCTATCTTGGGGCAGCTAGCAACAGTCATCTCCAAAGAGGTAGGACAAGAGGTTAAACTGGTCACTAGTATTGAGAAAGAAATCAACAAGCTCAAGAGCAATCTTAACTCCATCCAGGCTTTGCTTCTTGATATTGAGGAAAGGCAAATCGAGAATAGAAGCATCTAGAATTGGTACATTATGACATGGAGGATGTCTTGGATGAGTGCAACACTGCTCTTTTAAAGTTCAAAATTGATAAAGCAGATCTGGAAAGCTTTGATCTTTCCAAGGGAAAGGTTTATCGTCCCTTCATCCCATGTTTTTCTTTTGGTCGTCAAGTTGTTCATCGTCGTGACATTGCTCTTAAAATGAAAGAAATCAATGACATATTAAATGTGATTGCAAAGGAGAAAGATTACTATCAATTGAAACAAAGGGATAGTGATTTTTTGATTGAAACAAGGGATGGTAGACTTATTAGATGTAGAAGAGCAGAAAGTACAGATTTTATTGAGCTGTCAAGGTTGCATGGTCGAGATGAGATTAAGAATGACATGGTAAACAGTTTGTTGGGTGCTAACAATGATGAAATAAAGAGTGATATCAAGACCATCTCTGTCATAGGCATGGGTGGGGTTGGAAAAACTACTCTTGCCCAACTCGTTTACAATGATCATGCAATTGAGACCCATTTTGACAGGAGAATATGGGTTTCTATATCAAAAATTTTTTATGAAAAAAGAGTTGCAGAAGAAATTATTGTAGCTCTTGATGAAAACCTTTCAATAGGTGATTTCACTAAGCTTTTATTGCAAACACTTATAAACAAAATGTGCAAATGTATTAAGGGCAAGAAGGTTTTTCTTGTTCTGGATGATTTGTGGACAGATAAAAGTGAAAGTTGGGAACAACTAAATCAAGGTTTCAAACCCACGGCATCTAGAAGTAGGATTTTGGTGACAACTAGGAAGGATACAGTTGTGAAGATCATGAACTCCTTCCGTACAATTCCTCTAAAAGAACTGAGTGATAGTGTATGTTGGAAGACAATTAGCCAAGAAGCATTTCTTGGAAGAGATAAGGAACAATGTGAAAGTTTAGAGGACATTGGAAAGAAGATTGCAAAAAGATGTAGTGGATTGCCACTAGTTGCAAAGACTCCAGGAGGCATGTTGCGGTTCAAGAAAACAAGAGATGACTGGAAAACTATCTTGAACAGTGAGATATGGAAGTTAGATTTGGTACAAGAGCGACTTTATGTTCCTTTACTGTTGAGTTTCTATGATTTGGCCTTAGCAATAAGGCAATGCTTTTTGTGTTGTTCTATCTTTCCTAAAAATATTTTGATTAAGAAGGGTAACGTGATTTATCAGTGGATGGCACAAGGTTATTTAGGTTTTGATGAGAATATAGAGATGGAAATTATAGGAGCTCAGTACTTGATTACTTGGTGGAATGGTCCTTCTTTCAAGATCCTGAAATATTTGAAGATAGCATAAGGGGATGCAAGATCCATGACGTAATAGTTGACTTTGCCAGATTTTTTATCAGAAATGAAGTTGTGTCTAAAGATCTCCATTTTGATGGGAAGCATTCTTTAGAGAACACTCACCATCTATTGGTAAATCGGAGGAGAGAGACAAGTTTCCTATGCATCTTGCTGTAGAAAAGCTACGGAGCTTGACCATCTTCGACATTTATGAAGAAGAAAACAATCAATCTTTGTGCAAATTATTTATTGAACCAAAACGTGCGTTCATTGAATTTCTATAGGGCTCAAATTCATGTAGACAGACCTTCCGACGATGGTGGATTGCCAGAAGAAGTAGGCAAATTGTTGCACCTTAGATTGCTCAATTTGTCTTACAGTCTATTCATAAGATAGCCTGAAGCAGTGTATGAATTATGTAATTTGCAATCTTTACTTATGCTGGACTATTTTCTTCTACAAGAATTACTCAATAAGATGAAGAAGTTGGTAAACTTAAGGCATCTTGATACAACTGGCTGTAGCAATTTGACTAACTTTCCCAAGGGAATTGGAAGATTAACTTCCCTTAGGGATTTACAACGGATTAAAGTTGGACTTCATCACACAACTGAGAACGCATTTAGATTGGGGGATTTAGAAAACTTGTGTCACCTTCGTGTTTTGACGATGGAAATGGTTGGAAGGAAGATTGATGCTGATGAAGCCAGACAAGCGAAGCTACAAACTAAGATTCATCTCCAATATTTGGAGCTAATTCTTGATGATTCCAAGGATGACGGTGATTACTAAAGTCTTGAAACCACCTTCATACACAAAAGTGAGAACGAATACAAAAGTGAGAATGAGTATCAATGACAAAAGAATGATATGGGTGTTAAAAAAACCAAGGAATTCTAGAAAAGTAAAAAATGGAATGGGAATAAGAAAAACTCACGTTAAATGAAAATAACCTGGCCTTTACATAGGCTTTACAAGATAACATTATCTAAAAGATAACTAACCAATAAACCAATCTTATCTAATCTAATTTAAATGATAACAACCTAAATGATAAGAAAAACAAATAAATCCCAACAACCTAAATTATAGAGATAATAGATAAAAAATACGATCTAGTTTCCAACAATCCCTTCCTTAAACTGAAAGTCTTCAGACTTCAGTTTAAAGAAATCTGGATAAACCATGTCTACAATCTAGAATCTGTAGACCCTCCCTCAAGTTGAATTCTACATGCTGCAAACACCAAGTAACTGTCTCAGTCTTGAAAAAGCTACTACTTTGAGGGGTTTTGTGAATATATCAGCCACTTGATCTGCTATTCTACAATAAGTCAACTCAATTGTTCCATCTTCTACCAAGTTGTGCAAGAAATGACACCTCACATGTATATGCTTGCTTCTCCCATGCAGAATTGGATTTTTAGAAAGCTTGATAGTTGAACTGTTATCACGATAAATTGAAGTGGCCTCATGTTGATTCATCTCAAGTTCTTCCAGAATTCTTCTCAACCAAATAGCTTTACAAGCACATGAAGTTGCTGCCACATACTCTGCTTCTGTCATGAACAAAGTCACAATGGGCTACTTCTTTGAAGACCATGAAACTACACCAGATCCCAACATAAAAACATACCCAGAAGTGCTTTTTCTGTCATCCAAATCTCCAGCATAATCATTGTCTGTAAAAACTTGAGAGATTTGTTTGGTCACCCTTTTTGTAAAATAGTCCAAAATCTGCAATTCCATGTAAATACTTGAGAATTCTTTTAGCAGCCTGCAAGTGCAACTCCTTTGGATGCTCCATATATTTGCTTATCAGACTCACACCATGCATTTTATCTGGTCTTGTTGTTGTCAGATACATCAGACTTCCAACAATCTATTTATACAGTTTACTGTCCACAGATTTGCCACCTGGATCTTTTATAAGCTTCACTCCTTTTTCAACTAGTGTAGTGACAAAATTCTAGTTCATCATTTGAAATCTGTCATGAACTTCCTACACATATTTTTTCCAACAAACAAAAATTCCAGAATTTGACTGTACTACTTCCAGACCAAGAAAATAATGCAACAAACCTAGATCTGTCATATCAAATTCAAGCTTCATGGACTATTTGAACTTTTCTAACATGCCAAGATCATTCCCAGTATAAATTAATCATCAACATATAAGCATACTATAATCAATTTGCCTTCATCTCCAAATTTGATGTAAAGTGTATGCTCATAAGGGCACTTTTGAAAACCTTCCTTCAAGAAATAAGCATCAATTCGACTATACCAAGCTCTAGGTGCTTGTTTTAGTTCAATCTATAACCTTATGCTCAAAACTAGGTTTCATATAACTAAGAGGTGGATCAATAAATACCTATTCTTGTAAATCTCCATGCAAGAAAGCCGATTTTACATCAAGTTGGTAGATCGGCCATGAGTTTTGTGCTACCAATGCAATCACCAATCTGATGGTATCCATCCTTACAACTGGAGCAAAAACTTCTTGATAATCAATGCCAAACTCTTGCTTGTAACCCTTTGCCACCAAGCGAGCTTTGAATTTGCCAACCTTCCCATTTTCTTTGAGCTTTGTCTTATAGATCCACTAAACACCAATTGTCTTATGCCCTTCTGGAAGATCTGTCAACTCCCAAGTCAAGTTCCTTTCAATTGAACCAATTTTTTCTGCTATGGTTTTTTGCCACTTTTCTTCTTTAACAACCTTTTCATATGTCAATGGATCACAATTTGCAAATAGAGCAAAATGAGTAACTAGAACATCATCTTGAGGTAGATTTGTTACCTCATAATCCTCCAACGATGCTAGTCTTCTCTTTTTGTGTTGAGGTTGTGAACTAGTTCCAGATTCCAGTTCTGGTGTTGTTGGCAGACTTTCTCTAGTACTGTGTTCTGCTGCAAGTAGACTTTCCTCTTTTGCCTTTCTTGAAGTCTCGAGGTTAACTAAAGTTAAACCTTCATTTTGCTGCATCTGACCTCTTGAGTTTTGCACAATTAGATCTTTTCCATTTTTGAAATCTATAGGAATCTGTCGCCCAGATTTTTCTATCCAAAACCAAGTGCTTGCTTCATCAAACACACATCACGGCTAATGATGACCTTCTTAGTTATAGGATTGTATGATCTGTAAGTTTTGGATTGATCACTCACACCAAGGAAAATACACTTTTCCCCTTTGTCATCAAGCTTACTCCTTTTCTGATCTGGCACATGTGCATATGCTATGCACCCAAAATTTCTAAAGTAGTCAATAGCAAGTTTGCGTCCATTCCAAGCCTCTTTTGGCTTCATATTTGGAAGTGAAGATGTGAGACTTCTGTTCAAGATATGAACACTCCAATTAACAGCTTCTGGCCAAAACTCCTTAGGCAAAATGCTTTTTGACATCAAACTTTGCACCATATTCATGATTGTGCGATTCCCCCTCTCACATACACCATTTTGCTGAGGTGTATAAGCTGTTGTGAGTTGGCTTTTAATGCCATTAAACTCACAAAAATATGCAAATTCCTTTAAGTTAAATTCACCACCACAATCTGTACGCAGAACCTTTATAGATGTGCTAGCCTCATTCTCAGCCAAGGCTTTGAAATTTTTAAAGGCTGCTAAGGCTTCTGACTTGGTCTGCAAAAACTACACCCATGTTTTGCGACTGTAATCATCAACAAAGGTAATAAAGTATTGTTTACCTCCATTTGATGTTGGATTTATGGGTCCACACAGATCAGAATGAACCAAATCTAGCACTTGCTTTGTTCTCCAAGATTTGTCTTTACGAAAGCTATCATAGTGCTGCTTACTGACCACGTAGATTTCACAAATTTCTAAAAGAGAATCAAAATGAGGAAGACCATTTACCATCTTCTTTTGCTACAACACCTTCAACCCACCAAAATAAAGATGTCCATATCGACAATGCCATAACTAAGCTGTCCTTCAATTTGGTAGATAAGCATGATAGATTTACAGTCTGCAAGTACAATGGAAACAACCTATTTCCCATCATCTTGACCTTTGCAATTAAGCCAAGCTTTGAATCCTGAACTTGGCAAACTCCATCTTTAATTAGGATTTCATATCCTTTCTCCTAAAGCTGTCCTAGACTAAGCAAATTTGATTTCAGATCCGGTACATACAAAACATTAGCAATAGTTTGAACTGAGTTGTCTTTGGCACGAATGGTTAGCTTTCCCTTTCCCTTGACTACAATAGTAGATCTAAAAACATAGATTTGTCTCCACACATGTGGTTAGTGCAGCAGTATCCAAATACCACACATTCTTCTTGATGACTTATTTAGGATGACAGACCATGAATAAAAAGGCATCGTCATTCTTCTCATTATGTTTTGCAAAGTTAGAACTTTCTCTTATATTCAGATTAGCACGGCACTCAAAACGATAATGGTCATACTTATGACATCGGAAGCACTCAACATTTAACTTGCTTGCAAATTTGAATCTATTATTTATAGTTTGATTATTTTTGTTCTGCCACCTCTTTTGATTTCCAGTGGTTGAACTTCCCTTCAGTCTGTCAGATCTCGATCTGTCAGATCTTGATCTACCTTTCCAACTTTCTTTTCCTTGACCTATAGCCCTTGAATTGATTGTGGTCTGCAAGGATTGTGTCTGCGAAATCTACACTGCTTGCTCTTGCTTGTCTTGGCGATTTATCTTTTGCTCATGAACTAACAACGAGGGATTGAGGGCTGGACATAATTTTCGAAAGCCATGGAATCTATTGGGAATGGGCTCTGATACCAAATGTTAAAAAAACCAAGGAATTCCAGAGAAGTAGAAAATGGAATGGGAATAAAACAACTCACGTTAAATGAAAATAACTCAGCCTTTAAATAGACTTTACAAGATAACTAACCAATAAACCAATCTTATCTAATCTAATTTAAATGATAACAACCTAAACGATAAGAAAAACAAATAAATCCCAGCAACCTAAATTGTAGAGATAATAGCTAAAAAATAGGATCTAATTTCCAGTGGTTGAACTTCCCTTCAGTCTGTCAGATCTCGATCTATCATATCTTGATCTACCTTTCCAACTTTCTTTTCCTCGACCTATAGCCCTTGAATTGACTGCGATCTGCAAGGATTGCGTCTGCAAAATCTACACTGCTTGCTCTTGCTTGTCTTGGCAATTTATCTTTTGCTCATGAACTAACAACGAGGGATTGAGGGTTGGACATAATTTTCGAAAGCCATGGAATCTATCAGGAATGGGCTCTGATACCAAATGTTAAAAAAACCAAGGAATTCCAGAGAAGTAGAAAATGGAAAGGGAAATAACTCAGCCTTTAAATAAACTTTACAAGATAACTAACCAATAAACCAATCTTATCTAATCTAATTTAAATGATAAGAAAAACAAATAAATCCCAGCAACCTAAATTGTAGAGATAATAGCTAAAAAATAGGATCTAATTTCCAGTGGTTGAACTTCCCTTCAGTC